ATTATGTCCCCCCCCAATTTGTATTTAGGGCCCCCACCCACCGCTCAGGGGTGGGGGCCAGGGGTCCCCCCCCTTATTCTTGTTTAGGGCCCCCACCCACCGCTCAGGGGTGGGAGTCAGGGGGAGGACATTTGGCCCCCCCCCAATTTTTATTTAGGGACCCCACCCACCGCTCAGGGGTGGGGACCAGGGGGGGTAGGGGTGGGGGCTCAGGAGGGGGGCCCTTTTTTTTTAACAGTGAGCATTCACAGGCTGCTCACTGTTTAATAGACATGCCCCTACTCGCGATATAGCGAGTAGGGGCATAATTTACTAATACTAAGGGGTGGAGGCCAGGGGGAGGACATTAGGTTCCCCCTCCCCTTAATCTCGTTTAGGGTCCCCACCCACTGCTCAGGGGTGGGGGCCGGGGGGAGGACATTAGGTCCCCCCCCCTTATTCTAGTTTAGGGCCCCCACCCACCGCTCAGGGGTGGGGGCCAGGGTGGAGGACATTAGGTCCCCCCAATTTGTATTTAGGGCCCCCACCCACCGTTCAGAGGTGGGGGTCAGGGGGGAGGACATTAGGTCCCCCCTTATTCTTGTTTAGGGGCCCCTCCCACCGCTCAGGGGTGGGGGCCAGGGGAGAGGACATTACATTCTTACATTAGGTTCCCCCCCTTATTCTAGTTTAGGGCCCCCACCCACCACTCAGGGGTGGGGGCCGGGGGGAGGACATTAGGTCTCCCCCAGTTTGTATTTAGGGCTCCCACCCACCGCTCAGGGGTGGAGGCCAGGGGGGAGGACATTAGGTCCCCCCCTTATTTTTGTTTAGGGCCCCCACCCACCGCTCAGGGGTGGAGGCCAGGGGGGAGGACATTAGGCCCCCCCAATTTGTATTTAGGGCCCCCACCCACCGTTCAGAGGAGGGGGTCAGGGGGGAGGACATTAGGTCCCCCCTTATTCTTGTTTAGGGGCCCCTCCCACCGCTCAGGGGTGGGGGCCAGGGGGGAGGACATTACATTCTTACATTAGGTCCCCCCCCCCTTATTCTAGTTTAGGGCCCCCACCCACCGCTCAGGGGTGGGGGCCAGGGGGGAGGACATTAGGTCCCCCCAATTTGTATTTAGGGCCCCCACCCACCGTTCAGAGGTGGGGGTCAGGGGGGAGGACATTAGGTCCCCCCTTATTCTTGTTTAGGGGCCCCTCCCACCGCTCAGGGGTGGGGGCCAGGGGAGAGGACATTACATTCTTACATTAGGTTCCCCCCCTTATTCTAGTTTAGGGCCCCCACCCACCACTCAGGGGTGGGGGCCGGGGGGAGGACATTAGGTCTCCCCCAGTTTGTATTTAGGGCTCCCACCCACCGCTCAGGGGTGGAGGCCAGGGGGGAGGACATTAGGTCCCCCCTTATTTTTGTTTAAGGCCCCCACCCACCGCTCAGGGGTGGAGGCCAGGGGGGAGGACATTAGGCCCCCCCAATTTGTATTTAGGGCCCCCACCCACCGCTCAGGGGTGGGGGCCAGGGGGGAGGACATTAGGTCCCCCCAATTTGTATTTAGGGCCCCCACCCACCGTTCAGAGGAGGGGGTCAGGGGGGGAGGACATTAGGTCCCCCCTTATTCTTGTTTAGGGGCCCCTCCCACCGCTCAGGGGTGGGGGCCAGGGGGGAGGACATTACATTCTTACATTAGGTTCCCCCCCTTATTCTAGTTTAGGGCCCTCACCCACCGCTCAGGGGTGGGGGCCAGGGGTGAGGACATTAGGTCTCCCCCAGTTTGTATTTAGGGCTCCCACCCACCGCTCAGGGGTGGAGGCCAGGGGGGAGGACATTAGGTCCCCTCCTCTTATTCTAGTTTAGGGCCCCCACCCACCGCTCAGGGGTGGGGGCCAGGGGGAGGACATTAGGTCCCCCCCCAATTTGTATTTAGGGCCCCCACCCACCGCTCAGGGATTGGGGCCAGGGGGGAGGACATTATGTATTCTTGTTTAGGGCCCCCACCCACCGCTCAGTGGTGGAGGCCAGAGGGAGGACATTAGGTCTACCCCCTTATTCTAGTTTAGGGCCCCCACCCACTGCTCAGGTGTGGGGGCCGGTGGGGAGGACGATAGGTCCTCCTTCCTTTTTTTACTTTAGGGCCCCCACCCGCCGCTCAGGGGTGGGGAACGGGGGGGGGCAATAGGGGTGGGGGCTCAGGAGGGGGGCCCTTTTTTTTTTTTTTAACAGTAAGCAGTCACAGGCTGCTCACTGTTTAATAGACATGCCCCTACTCGCAGTGGCGGATCCAGAGCCTGATCTCGGGAGGGGCACTTGTAGATTATTTAATTAAATAATCCAGGCACAATAACCACTACAGCTCAGTGTAGTAGTTATGGTGTCAGTAGTGCCAGGATTCCACCCCAGAGTAAGTAGTCATACTGTTTAAGAACAGTTTGACAACTTACCTGGGGTCTGCTGGGATATAGGGTATAGGAGCAGTGGTGTGTGTTAAGGGTGAAGTGTGTGAGTGCGGCAGTGTATGTCAGGGTTGTAGTGTGTGTGTTAGGGGGCAGTGTATGTATGTGTGTGGGGGCAGTGTGTGTAATGGGGGGCAGTGTATGTGTGGGGGGCAGTGTGTGTAATGGGGGAAGTGTATGTATGGGGGGGCCAGGGGGGAGGACATTAGGCCCCCCCTTATTCTTGTTTAGGGCCCTCACCCACCGCTCAGGGATGGGGGTCAGGGGGGAGGACATTTGGTCCCCCCCCCAATTTTTATTTAGGGCCCCCACCCACCGCTCAGGTGTGGGGGCCGGTGGGGAGGACAATAGGTCACCCCCCCTTTTTTTACTTTAGGGCCCCCACCCGCAACTCAGGGGTGGGGGCGGGGGTGGGGGTATAGGGCAGGGGGGACCCTTTTTTAACAGTGAGCAGTCACTTTTTAGTAGACATGCCCCTACTCGCGATATAGCGAGTAGGGGCATAATTTACTAATACTAAGTAATCTTAGTATTAGTAAATTTGGCTGAAAGACTAATTTAGGTCTTTCAGCCTTTTAGTAGATAGCTCCCTTATACCGTGGGAAGTATGGAGTTATCTACTTATTCATTCCTGTCATTACATGACTGGCTAAGTAACTTACATTTTATATGAATGTGTGTTACTTGATTGTTGTAAGTGTTGGAAACGCTTACAGCTGAATCCTGTCTATGTTTGTATACTTTTTATTCTTACATTCTTCTTCTTTCACTGGGTAAGTATATTAGTACTTAGGCAATACTGTGCTTCGGAACTTCAGCATTTTGAGACCTCGGAACTTTGGCAACTTCGGCACTTCAGCAATTCGACTGTTATTATACAAGAGCAGCAAAGCTCTATAACAGGCCACAGAGCTGGAGGAAGTAATTTCATGGATATCACTTCCTCCCAGCATTACCATAGATCTTCTGTAACTGGTAGCTGAGCGTCAGGTCTGTGTAGAGATTATGGGGATGTGGGTTGTTATATTGCCGCCCTCTGTCTCTCACAATGCTCCTCTGAAGTAGGACTGCCTGGGAGAAGTAAAGGATAGGAGCAGGGGATATTTATGGTTAGTTAATGTGGAGGGAAAAAGTTGGGGATTTGTATTTGTAAGTATCTGACTGTTTCTGGGTGTGTGTCTCTGGCTGGCTGTATGTCAGTTTGACAGTGTGAGTGTATTTTTTGTGTGTCAGTCTGGCTGTTTGACAGTGTTTGTGTATATCTGGTTGTGTGTCTGTTTGCCAGTGTGTTTTTGTGTGTGTGTGTGTGTGTGTGTATCTCTAGCTGTGTTTGTGTATCTCCGCTTGTCTGTCTCTTTGATAATGTGTGTGTGTGTGTATCATTGACAGTCTATGTGTGTGATTGTGTATGTCTGGATGTGTGTCTGTTTGACAAAGTATTCTGACGTCTCTGGTTATGTGCATGTCTGACAGTGTATGAAAATGTGTGACTGTGTGTACATGTACAGCTGTGTGTCTGTTTGATGCTGTGCCTATGCACATCTGTGTGTAGCACGTGTGTCTGTCAGCGTGAATCTGTGTTTTTCACATTGTGTACCTGCATATGTGACCGTGTGCACATGACATTGTGTATTTGTGTCTGGCAATGAGTGTGTGTCTATTCTGAAAGAGTGTGTGTATGACCATTTATGTGGCAAGGAGTGTGAAGCTAGGTGAGAGGGTCCTGGCAATATTTTTTTAAGGGGCCCTGAAACTTCTGATGGCCAACATTGGTTAATGGAGTTAATGGCACAAATACTACATATAATATAAGGCGTAAAGAAACAGTAATGCTTCAAATTACATCCAGTTTTTATAAAAGAAAAAAATTTTTTTTAAATGGCATAGAAAGTCATGAACCATTACTGGTACTGCATTGAATGTTCCATAATGTTTGCACTTTACAGTAGACTGGGATTGCCAGTAATTTGTCATCATACGTGTACTGTGGATAGGCTAGTTACTGCATTCACCATCATTTAAATCCTAGATATATTTTGATTGGCTTAAATAACCAGGCAGCCACTCACAATGACACTTTAATTTCAAATGAGTCTCCTATTATTTTCTTGCAGCCTGTCTCTAAAATCATGCAACAATGAAATTATTATTTTTTTTTTAAAAAGCAAATCCTGTATCTTTAACACATATTTATTTAAACTGGTGTAGACATGATAGTTCATGCAAAGAAAACATTAGTATTCTGGTAATTTTTGATAATGTCATCATTGCTTATGCAGTGGTCAATATCCTGTGTTTGAGAGACATCGGTGATTAGCAGGGAATAGTTTTTTTTTAGTTTTGTCAAATTAGATTTTGGGGAGAATACACAAAGGCTCTGCACAAAGGATTTGTTGGAGGGTAGGTCAGCCCTAGCACATGGTGAGGGTACAGTCTCTAGGGTAAACTATGAGGGGATTACAGATCAACTACATACAGAGAGAAGGTCAAGTGGGCAGCATTAGCTCAAGTGGAGTTGAGCCTCAAAAATACAGAATCTGCTAAGAAAGCAGCAGATTAGTGTAGCCTGTGAGGGGCACATGCAGAACAATGTCAAGTTGATGGGGGGCGGCGGCATCGGGTAATATCGGGAAATGCAGTCTATGACAGTGGATTACTCTATGAAATAATCCTATGAACTAGGAAATGCAAATAGCACAAGTAAACCTTGTAACCCCAATCCTCATACATCACCATCACAGACCGAAATTAAATCACAAAGGAAACGCCTAGAACTCTAGTTTGTGCAAGACAGACAAAGACATATATTGTGTCATTACACCTTCTTATATAAACAACCATCACATGGAGTTCTAAACATTCTAAGCCTAATATCAGCCAGCAACAAAAGGGTTAAGAGGAACAAAGCAGAATAAAACCAGAATTGTGGAGGGCTGAATTCAATGTGCAATAGGGACCAATCTGCTTCTGCATAATAACAATAGAGATTTTGCAGCTGGCACTTATATCCTGGAGGGCACTGAATGAAAAAAAAGGGGGAGGCTCTGGGTGAAATCTAGTCTACTCTCCCCCACATTCCCAGTAGCATCCTCCTTTCTCCACACACAGAGACTGTCCAGGAAGCTGTGAATAGCATGCTCCCTACTACACAGGAGGAGGGGAGGAGGGTGAATCCTTCCAGGGTGGGTGTGTGTGGCTTGTCCCCTCTGCCTGCCACTCCTATCACCCCCCTCCCACAAGCTCGTACACAAAACACACAATAGACCAACACAAAGAGGACACAAGGTTGAATGCTCCTCCTCTCCTGTATAGGATGAAGATTTGCAAGTCTGTATCCTTAATAATGGTCCAGTAAACTCCATAGGCCTTTTTCTTTACAGAAGAAAATATGCAGAAAATGCTGGGCTGAGAAGCTGACATTTTCTTAAGGATTTCACCTTAAAATAAGGATTACGCTGCATCAACGCCGGCTGTGTATGGGATAATATCCATCCAGAATGGGTAAATGTAGTGGAAGATGTACCTTGGTTGGAATCTGTTGCCTACAGCTGGTGAGTAATAATAAAAAAAATCTTATGTCTTATGGTATTGCTAATACATTGTCGTTGCTCTATTGACAAGTCTATTATTTTCTGTTATGCTGCAGATGTCTCTTTTATTGGACCATACTATAGAATGGGTTAGATTGCAAGCTCTTCTACCAATCTAATCTGGCCTCTTTGGGTGAAGCTGTTTGATATTTAATTATATAGTATTTGTTATATGTATGGATATGTTTGTATATGTGATATACTATAATATAAAATGCCATATTATAGTATATAATATATCATGTAAAACATATACCTATAAACATTTACTGCATAACTAGCATTTAATATTTGTATTTTAAAACTATATGCCAGTTCTGTTTTCTGTGTATATAATAATTCTTTGAATTTCAATCTTAGTGGAGTACATGAGAGACAGATAAAAGAAGAGATAGACAAAGATAGAGAAAAGAAACTTTCTAAGTCGGAAACTTGCAGAATAAAGGCCTTTTTAAATTATGTTTTGTATATGAATTATGCTAGTTTACATTGACTTGACATTTTTACAGAGATACACAGATGGTTTAAAATGATAAGATTTATCATCCTATGTACAGTGCTCAGGAACATGCTAGCCTCATAAATACAAAGCTGTCTGTGTCCCTTGCAAATGCTCATTTTTAATATCTATTGTATCAGGTGAACTGCACATTTTCACCTGACTGAAGCACAAAAAAATCTACAACTTACAATTTAACTGCTTTGCTTATATATTAGTTGGGTTGAGAGCAGGGGTCAAGTCCTGGGGAATAAAGTGTGGAAACTCACCCAAGATCCACCCCCCCCCCACACCCAAAATAATAATAATAATATACACATATATATATATGTGTATATATATATATATATATATTCATGCGTGCACACACACACTGACAGGTGCACACACACACATACTCAGCCACACTCACACACACATACACTCACAGACACACACACAGACACTCACAGACACACATACAGACACTCACACACACTCACAGACACACACACACACACACATACTCAGACACTCACACGAACTCACAGACACACACACACACACACAAACACTCACAAATTATTATTTTTTCTCAATTTAAAAAACTCCACCCAGCCTGGCGTGGACCTGTCCCTTGGGTCCAGTGGGGCTTCAGTGTGGCAGGTGGCTGTCTCCCAGTGGCATGCGGCAAGGGAGCTGTGTCCTCTCTGATCTGCTCTATCTCGCCGCCCGGGCTGTCTACTGATGCCGGGAGCCGGAATATGACATCAGCAAACGGTGGACGAGGGAGCAGATCAGAGAGGACACAGCTTCCTCGTGTGACAGGGAGACAGCCGCCTGCAGGGGTGTCCATCAGGCCATCAGGCATTTGGGGGAAGCATTTTTACCCGCCCCCTGAGTGCCTGCAGGACCACAAACGGGAATGGTGTACCTGTTTTAAAAAATGTGCAGGAACCGGTTCCCACGCGTTCCTGCAGGACTCGAGCCCTGGTTGAGAGTATGTCACTTTTTATGTGTCAGGCAATATAAATGTACTAATTTATAATGATTTTATTCCACTACATAGGTGTATTAAAGGACCACTCAAGGCACCCAGACCACTTCAGCTTAATGAAGTGGTCTGGGTGCCAGGTCCAGCTAGGATTAACCCATTTTTTTATAAAAATAGCAGTTAATCCAGCCCTCAAATCCTCTAGTGGCTGTCTCATTGACAGCCGCTAGAGGCGCTTGCGTGATTCTCACTGTGAAAATCACAGTGAGAACACGCAAGCGTCCATAGGAAAGCATTGTAAATTCTTTCCTATGAGACCGGCTGAATGCGCGCGCAGCTCTTGCCGCGCGTGCACATTCAGCCAAAGGGAGGAGAGGAGGAGGATCGGAAGCGGAGAGCTCCCCACCCGGCGCTGGAGAAAGGTAAGTTTTAACCTCTTCCTCTCCCCAGAGCCGGGCGGGAGGTGGACCCTGAGGGTGGGGGCACCCTCAGGGCACTATAGTGCCAGGAAAACGAGTATGTTTTCCTGGCACTATAGTAGTCCTTTAACTAACCTATGATATAAGTTCCTGTGTTATACAGAGTTTCTCCTGCTGGGTGTTTTACTATGTGCTAACTAGCGCTAGTGTGTTGCAGACCAAATCAAAGAAGCGGACTATCTCAGACTACCAGAGACTAAATTCTCTTGTTACACATTTCCAACTAAATTAAAGTGGAATGGGGTAATACAATTGTTGGACAAAAATAAAAACAAGCACAAATACTAAACTTTTACTGAAAAATGTCCATTTGGCCCTTTAGGGAGGTCTTTCATTATTATATGTGGTGTGGTAATAGAGGTCACTACACCTGACAGTGGTTTAGTGCAGTGGTTCCCAACCCAGTCCTCAGGTACCACCTAAAAGTACAGGATTTAGGGGTTACCCAGTTGTGTCCAAGGTGTTTTTAGAAAAAAAGGAAAAAAAGAAAAAACACTTTAGACACAACAGGGTAATTCCTAAATCCTGTACTAGTAGGTGGTACTTGACGACTGGGTTGGGGACCCCTGGTTTAGTGGGATAGACATATTATATTATGCGGGCCACTGAGTAAGTGCCCCAAGCTCTTATACTAAAGACCAGGAGACATTGTTCCCACCGGCTTACCTACTGTGATACCCTCTTTATAATATGCACCCATACTTTTTACCACCTCATCCGTACACACTTGGTACCTAAGTTATTGGTCAAAAATTGTATAAAAAAATAAAATAAAATAAATAATACCTGCCCACCCATTAAAAAAATAAAACTGACATGATGAGGAGGTAAGCATTTCCATTAATTCTAAAACAGTTGCAAAATAAAAACAGTAGAGAGAGTTCAGAGAAGGGCTACTAAACTGGTTCATGGATTGCAAGATAAAACTTACAAGGAAACGTTAAAGGATCTTAACATGTATAGCTTGGGGGAAAGACGAGACAGGGGGGATATGATAGAAACATTTAAATACATAAATTGAATGAAATCAACACAGTAAAGGAGGAGACTATATTTAAAAGAAGAAAAACTACCACAACAAGAGGACATAGTTTTAAATTAGAGGGGCAAAGGTTTTAAAATATCAGGAAGTATTACTTTACTGAGAGGGTAGTGGATGCATGGAAAAGCCTTCCAGCTGAAGTTGTAGAGGTTAACACAGTAAAGGAGTTTAAGCACGTGTGGGATAGGCATAAGGCTATCCTAGCTATAAGATTAGGCCAGGGACTAATGAAAGTATTTATAAAATTGGACAGACTAGATGGGCCGAATGGTTCTTATGTGTCGTCACATTCTATGTTTCTATAAGTAATGCCTCATTTATTCAGTTATGTCAACCATAAGCCTTGCCATATTTTGTTCATGAAAATTGGCACCGATTAAAAAAAAAAAAAAAATGATGCATGTATAAAGATATTTATATATTTAATCAGATCTTGTAGACTCAATTTTCTGCTTCAAAAGGGTTTATTTAAAGGAACACTATTGTGTTAGGAATACAAATCTGTATTCCTAATGCTATATTGCCCTGTCCCTCTTTGTCCCCAACCCCTCGTTTGCCTTAATAAAATAAACAATTTACTTACCATTTTCCAGTTCCCAGAGCGCTACTCACCTCTCCATCTCCCACAACATAATTGAGGAGGCATGGCCTACTTCGCAATGGTCCAACTGAATGTTCCTCCTAGAGGAGCATTGGGGACCTGCTATGTATGTGCAGTGAGCAGACAGCACACATTTATGCTTCCCCATAGTAAAGCGTTGTATTCAATGCTTTCCAATGGGCTTATGTGTCACATGACCAAATTCTACTTGGTCAGTGCATCAGAAGCACCTGTAGTGAGTATCAGAATGGCAGTCACTAGAGATGGACTTAACCCTGCAATGAATTGCAGTTTCTAAAAACTGCAATCGATTTTATAATTGCACGGACACTGCAACCAGGCCACTTAATTGAGGTGAATTGGTCTAGGTAACTATAGTGTCCCTTTAATGAGAGGTTGACTGCGTATTAGGAATGTAGAACATGGTAGTAGAGGCTTGAAGCTCTACCTCCCAGTTGTCCTGATTTTGTTGTTCCTTCTCACCATTAAAGGAACACTGTAGGGTCAGGAACACAAACATGTATTGTAGTGTTAAATGTACCCTGTACATGTACCCTGTAGTGTTAAAAGCACCGTCTAGCTCCCCTTGCCCCCTCTTGCCTCCCT